CCAGAACTAGTGTCCCCATTGGAAGATTACTTCTTTGGGGACAACCCAACATTTACTTTCCCTTTCAATGATAATGGTAAACAGGACAAATAGAAAGGGTGAATCTCCCTAACGGCGACACAGACAGCAATAAAAACTGACAGGTGTTCTAATCCCTCTCCCTTCTAACCAAAACTAAAAAAAGGTTTGCCTTTAGTTATTCTTTAAGTGATAAAGGTAACAGCCACTAAACTGGACTAAGTGCTCTAAGTCTACCAGTACTAGTTTGAAAAAGCCTCTTACTGCGATTGCAGACACATATTACACCAATATTTGAGTTTTTATCACTTAATACTAAGTGATAAAAATACCAAGATCTTTCAAGCAAGCAACTATGGGTGACCGGAAAGAAAAGTTAGTGTTGATGGGGGCATCCCTCTCGCAGTGCTATTGTATTCTGCAGGCGGGGATCCCCTTGAGAACAAGTGCGGGGCTAAGGGTGACATCATCACACTCCTGGTCAAGCTGGTGGCCCATTTGTAATATTGCTCTGTTTTACAAAGTGTTACATAGTTAGTCTGGCTGAAAAAAGGCAAAAGTCCATCCAGTTCAACCATAGAAAAAAAAAAAGTTATAATCCTATACCCACAGTTGATCCAGAGGAAGGCCAAAAAAAACCCAGCAAAGCACGATCCAATTTGCTTCTGCTGGGAAAAAAATTCCTTCCTGATCCCCCGAGAGGCAATCGGATATTCTCTGGATCTACTTTACCTATAAATGTTAGTATCCAGTTATATTCTGTGTATCTAAGAAAGAATCCAGGCCTTTTTTGAAGCAATCCACTGAGCTGGACAGAACCAACTCTTGAGGGAGTCTATTCCACATTTTCACAGCTCTTACTGTGAAGAAACCTTTCCGTGTTTGGAGATTAAATTTATTTTCCTCCAGAGATAAAGAGTGCCCCTTTGTCTTCTGTAATGAGCTCAGGGTGAATAGCTCTACACCAAGTTCACTATAGGAACCACTGATGTATTTATACACGGTGATCATATCCCCGCTTAATCTCCTCTTCTCAAGAGAGAGAATAAATTCATTTCCTGTAATCTTTCCTCATAGCTGAGCTCCTCCATGCCTCTTATCTGTTTGGTTGCCCTTCTCTGTACTTTCTCCAGTTCCCCAATGTTCTTTTTGTGAATTGGTGCCGAAAACTGAACTGCATATTACAGATGAGGTTTCACTAATGATTTGTACAGGAGTAATATGATACCTCATACAAATGAGCGCAGAGAGGCCACTCCAGGTGGAAACATGTGAACAGTTAATCATGAGCTCACCACTGCTGCCTTGTTAATCATTTGCATGATGAAGAGAACTGAAAAGAATAGGCACTGTGGAAAATGCTCTCAGTTAAGCACCTTAATGAAGCTGGTGCTTGACTGAGAGCATTTTTCACAGCACCTATTCTTTTCAGTAATATATCTCTCTCTCGCTCTGGAGTCTATACCTCTTTTAATACAAGAGAGGATTTTGCTCGCTTTAGAAACCGCAGCTTGGCATTGCATGCCATTATTAAGCTTGTGATCTACCAGAACTACCAGATCCTTCTCCACCATTGATTCCCCCAGTTGTACTCCCCCCAGTATGTATGATGCATGCATATTCTTAACCCCCAAGTGCATAACCTTACATTTATCAACATTAAACCTCATTTGCCACATAGTTGCCCAATTAAACAGTGCATTGAGGTCGGCTTGTAAGTTGGAGACATCCTGTAAGGACGTTATTCCACTGCACAGCTTGGTGTCATCTGCAAAGACTGAAATGGGATTTTTAATCTCAGACCCTATATCGTTTATAAATATATTAAAAAGTAAGGGTCCCAACACTGAACCTTGGGGTACACACCACTGATGACCCCAGACCATTCAGAGTATGAATCATTAACCCTACTCTCTGAATACAATCTTTTAGCCAGTTTTCTATCCATTTACATATGGATTTTTCCAAGCCCAACTTTACCTTACACATTAGCCATGTGTGGGGAACTGTGTCAAACACTTTTGCAAAATCCAAGTATACCACGTCCACCGCCACCGCTCTGTCCAAGGTTTTGCTCACCCCCTCATAAAAAGAAATCAGATTTGTTTTACAACTTCTGTCTTTCATGAATCAATGCTGTCTGTTGCTTAAAGTATTTTTTTCCAGCAAAAACTCATCTATGTGGTCTTTTATTAAACTCTCCAGTATCTTCCCAGCTATAGAAGTTAAACTAACAGGTTTTAGTTATAGAATGTGAGTACCTTTTATGATAAATAAACTAGTGTTTGCAATTTTATGTGCCTTCTGTGATTCATATCTTTGCTGGCCTGCGTCACATCCCTGCTGGTGAGGCCTGTAGTTCCCGTCATTCGGTCCGGATAGGAGTGCACAGTATATAAGCCTTTGCTGAACAGGTGCCTTATAGGTTTCCATTAATATGGGGTCTATGATTCTGATAAAACACTATGTTGGTCAGTGGTGGATGATTCACAATATTGCCACAGAGGAGTGTACTATTCTATTAATGGGCTTTAATTTGGTTTATGCATTTAGCATGTACTGCACACATTTGCGGTGTTTGCACATTAATTATGAACTTTATTTAAAGCAGCGGTTCTCAACCTGGGGGGTCGCGACCCCTTTGGGGGTCGAACGACCATTTCCCAGGGGTCGCCTAAGACCATCGGAAAACACATATTTCCGATGGTCTTAGGAACCGAGACACCGCTCCTCTATCCGGCGATGTGTGGGCGGGATGATACGCTGCTCCTGTCACCTGGCCACACCTCCGGGATCGCTCAGCAGCTCCGCCTCCTCGCTGCTGATTGGCCACCGGAACTGTAGCTCAGGAGAGGCACACAGGCGGCCAATCAGCGGCGAGGAGGTGGAGCTTGGAGAGGAGGAGCCGAGCGGCAGCGCGCGCACATCAAAGAAGATCGAGGGAGCTGCCGGAGCGAGTGAAGAGGAGAGCGGCCAGAGAAGGAAGACAGCTGACAGGTAAGTGAGAGAGCGAGCCCAGGCTGTCACTAATACCAACGATGGGGCACTATTCCTCCCCCCACTGACACCAACGATGGGGCACTATTCCTCCCCCCACTGACACCAACGATGGGGCACTATTCCTCCCCCCCCCACTGACACCAACGATGGGGCACTATTTCCCCCCCCACTGACACCAATGATGGGACACTATTTCCCCCCCCCCTGACCTCAATGATGGGGCACTATTCTCCCCTCCACCACACTGACATCAATGATGGGGCACTATTCCTCCCACTGACACCAATGATGGGGCACTATTCCTCCCCCACTGACACCAACGATGGGACACTATTTCCCCCCCCCGACCCCAATGATGGGGCACTATTCTCCCCTCCACCACACTAACATCAATGATGGGGCACTATTCCTCCCACTGACACCAATGATGGGGCACTATTCCTCCCCCCACTGACACCAACGATGGGACACTATTTCCCCCCCCCCGACCCCAATGATGGGGCACTATTCTCCCCTCCACCACACTGACATCAATGATGGGGCACTATTCCTCCCACTGACACCAGTGATGGGGCACTACTCCCCCCACTGACACCAGTGATGGGGCACTACTCCCCCCCCCACTGACACCAATGATGGGGCACTACTCCTCCCACTGACACCAGTGATGGGGCACTACTCCCCCCACTGACACCAGTGATGGGGCAGTACTCCCCCCACTGACACCAGTGATGGGGCACTACTCTCCCCACTGACACCAATGATGGGGCACTACTCCCCCCCACTGACACCAATGATGGGGCACTATTCCTCCCACTGACAGCAATGATGGGGCACTATTCCTCCCACTGACACCAATGATGGGGCACTATTCCTCCCACTGACACCAATGATGGGGCACTATTCCTCCCACTGACACCAATGATGGGGCACTATTCCTCCCACTGACACCAATGATGGGGCACTATTCCTCCCACTGATACCAACGATGGGGCACTGTTCCTCCCACTGATACCAACGATGGGGCACTATTCCTCCCACTGACACCAACGATGGGGCACTATTCCTCCCACTGACACCAACGATGGGGCACTATTCCTCCCACTGATACCAACGATGGGGCACTATTCCTCCCACTGACACCAGTGATGGGGCACTATTCCTCCCACTGACACCAGTGATGGGGCACTATTCCTCCCACTGACACCAGTGATGGGGCACTATTCCTCCCACTGACACCAGTGATGGGGCACTATTCTCCCCTCCACCACACTGACATCAATGATGGGGCACTATTCCTCCCACTGACACCAATGATGGGGCACTATTCCTCCCCCCCCCACTGACACCAACGATGGGACACTATTTCCCCCCCCCCCCCCGACCCCAATGATGGGGCACTATTCTCCCCTCCACCACACTGACATCAATGATGGGGCACTATTCCTCCCACTGACACCAGTGATGGGGCACTACTCCCCCCACTGACACCAGTGATGGGGCACTACTCCCCCCACTGACACCAATGATGGGGCACTACTCCTCCCACTGACACCAGTGATGGGGCACTACTCCCCCCACTGACACCAGTGATGGGGCAGTACTCCCCCACTGACACCAGTGATGGGGCACTACTCTCCCACTGACACCAATGATGGGGCACTACTCCCCCCACTGACACCAATGATGGGGCACTATTCCTCCCACTGACAGCAATGATTTGGCACTATTCCTCCCACTGACACCAATGATGGGGCACTATTCCTCCCACTGACACCAATGATGGGGCACTATTCCTCCCACTGACACCAATGATGGGGCACTATTCCTCCCACTGATACCAACGATGGGGCACTGTTCCTCCCACTGACACCAACGATGGGGCACTATTCCTCCCACTGACACCAACGATGGGGCACTATTCCTCCCACTGACACCAACGATGGGGCACTATTCCTCCCACTGATACCAACGATGGGGCACTATTCCTCCCACTGACACCAGTGATGGGGCACTATTCCTCCCACTGACACCAGTGATGGGGCACTATTCCTCCCACTGACACCAGTGATGGGGCACTATTCCTCCCACTGACACCAGTGATGGGCACTATTCCTCCCACTGATACCAACGATGGGGCACTATTCATCCCACTGACATCAGTGATGGGGCACTACTCCTTCCACTGACACCAATGATGTGGCACTACTCCTCCCACTGCAAAATTACAGTTATGAAGTAGCAACGAAAATAATTTTATGGTTGGGGGTCACCACAACATGAGGAACTGTATTAAGGGGTCGCGGCATTAGAAAGGTTGAGAACCACTGATTTAAAGGCACGTGTGATGAATTTTTATTATTTATGATGATGGGAGGTTCACAAACTAAAATGTAGTTTAGTGTTTTGGGAGAGGCCGTTGGCAGCTGAAGCCACTGAAAATAAAGCTCCAGCCTGCCTCTTTGAGTATGCTGCAAGATCCAGCTTCCAGGATCCAGGCTGCCACTTTGCCCCTGCTACTTTAACGTTATTCCTGGCCTGACATAATCCAGGAGATAGGTCGCAATAGAGGGAAGAAACATTTCACTCCTACTTACCACCAGTGGAGGGGGTTGAATTTCACTGCCACTGACCACCAGTGGACGGGTTACATTTCACTGCCACTGATCAGCCGTGCAGGGGGTTACATTTCACTGCCACTGACCTCCTATGGCAGGGATTAAACATCACTGCCACTGACCGACAACACAAGCAGGAATTGAATAATAATGCCACTGACACCAGTGCTCAGGGGTGTCACTGCCACTGATACAGTTACTGGAATTTACTGTTAATCCCACTGACAGAAATGGTGGGGGTAATTTGTGCTCCGCCTTGTAGTTTATTTAAATCTTACTTTCTCTTCGGGGTACCATGCCTACTTTTCCCCACATCCACAAGCGTTTGGTGGGTGGCATCTTGCATTTTCTTTTGCAAACCCTTTAAGGGGTCCTCATAATTATTATTAATTGTTGGCTATGTAACTAGTGTCTAAGTGTGTCTCACTAGGGACCTCCAATCCAAAGAAAATAAAGCTGGACATTTATCTATTCAGTCATATCCGACCCTTGGCAATTGCATGGACCGTCACTCGTAAGTGACTTTTTCCATGAATTCTCTTAGCAATTAATGTACAGAGTAGGTTGCCAGGTCTTTCCCCAACCCCTACCATGCAGGAGATCCCGCGTGGCCAGGGATGAAACTAGGACAATTTAGACAGGAGACAATTAACCTACCAGCAATTAACCTACCAGCATGTCTTTGGAGTGTGGGAGGAAACCCATTCGAACACAGGGAGAACATGCAAACTCCATGCAGGAGGTGCCATGGTTGGGAATTGAACCCATGACCCAATTACTGCAAGGCAGAAGTGCTAAGCCACTGTGCCAGCCCAAAGCTGGTTATAGATCCTAAGATTTTTCTCATTTATTTCTCCCCTGCCAGATACTGTATTTCTCCCTTGCCTGATACTATATTTTCACAGCCTGCATCCATGGCTGTCAGAATATCTGAACAGTGGCAACATCTGATTGGTTGCAGCCCCTGTTCAGCTGAAAATTTTACATCCTAGTCCTTCGATTTTCAGATTAAAAAGATGGCAGGGGAGGGTCAGTGGTGACAGTGTTCCTGATAAATCACCCAAAAGTTGCTCCATGCATGGCCAGCTTTAGCATTTAGGAGTCAATCAAAGAGTATTTAGGAGCTGTGAATGAATTTTGATGAAATAGTGGACATAATAAATCGGTAAAGACACCAAGTCATATTTGTCACTCTGTAACCACACCTGATCAGAGAAAAGGGACATATCCCATAAAGATAAACTTATGGCACTAGTGGTGTGTAGGCAGATGAAGATAGCCTTGCCACCTGTAGGTGGCCTAGTGCCATTTTTGCATGGAAAGGGGAGTCTCATAAGAGGATTGGTGCCTTAGAGATCCCATACAGTACCTTTAGAAAGCAAGTTAGTCTGATTTGACACTGAACTCTTCAGAGAATTCAGCAGTCATCTTGGGTGAGGTAACCTTTTAAATAAGGGACCCTTACATCATTTTTCTACACTTCTGGCAAGTGTATGGTAGGAAGAAGAACCTGCTTTTCAGGGACAGTGCTTAGCCCAGCATCAGGTTCAAAATGAGGAGGGATATCTCAGGAAAAGCTTCTTCTTTACTTCATACACTCAGGGCCATCTTTAGCATTGATTAGACCCTGGGCAAACATATTCTTGGGTCCTCCCATGAAATTTTGCTCTCCACCTGCTCTGAGACATACTATAAATAGCAACTAAACTCAAAATCAGTTTACTGCAGCAGATCAGGCAGTAATTGCAATTCATTGCTGGAGGTTACAGCATATCATTACTGCTCACTAACTGGTTGCTAGAGGTTACAGCACACATTACAGCTCACTGATTAGTTGCTAGAATTTACAGCACATGATTTCTGTTTGCTGATTGGTTGCTAGAGATTACTGCACATCATTACTGCTAACTGGTTGCTAGAGGTTTCTGCACATCATTACCGCTCACCCATTGGTTGCTAGAGTTTACTGCACATCCTTACCACTCACTTATTGGTTGATAGAGGTTACAACACTTAATTACATCTCACCGATTGGTTGCTGAAGGTTACAGCACATCATCTCCCCACTGCCTGCACACCATGGACTGAAAAGGTTAGGGGACCCACCAATAGACAGAAAACTCCTAGGACTCTTGGGATCAATGGCAGTGCTGGGTGGGAGGGTGTGATCAGTGGCAGTGTTGGGGGGAGGGTTGATGGGATCAGTGGCAGTGGTGGGGGGGATGGGATCAGTGGCGGTGATGGGGAGGATGGGATAAGTGGCAGTGCTTGGGGGGGTCGGATGAGTGACAGTACTGATGGGGGGATGGGATCAATGGCAGTGCTTGAGGGGATGGGATCAATGGCAGTGCTTGGGGTGGATGGGATCAGTGACAGTGCTGGATGGGGATGGGAGGTGACATTTCTACACCGACCACCATTGTTAAGGGGGATTAAAACTGATGACCAATGTAAGGGGGGTTTACACTGACCACCATGGTAAGGGCAATTCTGCACTTACCACCAATGTAAAGGGAAATTTACACTGGCCACCAATGTAATGAAGGATTTACACTGACATCCAATGTAATGGGGGATTTTACACCAACAACAAATACATTTCTACACTGGCCACCAATGTAAGGGGGAATTTACACTGACCACCATAAAAAGTGTTGGTGGTTGGAACCTCCAGGGCATAATATATATATGAATGCCACATTGCAGCCCCTATTTACATATGAATGCCACATTGCCACTGCTATTTACATATGAATGCCACCATTATTTACATGTGAATGATGGCACAGTCTGCATCAGGGGCGGACTGACAACTCATGGGGCCCCCAGGCAATAGGGGATCATGGGGCCCCTGTGTCCTTGCCCAAACTCAAAAAAACCTATGAAAAAGGTACCAGGGGCATCTCATGGGGCCCCCTACTGACCCCGGGCCCTTGGGCAGTGTTTCCAATGCTCAGTCCGCCCCTGGTCTGCACACGTGAGTCATCTGTACATGGCAATAGGACAGAGCTAGACAGCATAAGTGACAGCACTTCACACTGAGATATGGGACACAGGCTGGGACAAAGACTTCCAGGGACAAGGGGATGTAAACCAGTACAGTTGACAAGTATGGGACAGCTGCTTTGGGCCCCGCAACAATGACTGGGCCCAGATGCCCCTTTTTCCCCTCCTTAAAGACGGTCCTGCATACACTCTGGTAAGCAGTGCGAAGGTATGGACCTGATGGAGACTGCAGAAACATCCTTTGCTTATGTCAGGAAGGAACACTACCACAGAATCTGTCTTCCAGAAATGTGCCTTGTAAATACTGAGACTGTATATTATCTGGTTTACTCCTATCAGTGCTGAAGATCAGTTTATCTGCTGCTGCCAACAAACTGCATGATTTATATAAAAAGACATTAGTAGCCTACACGGTATACTGCGTGTGAGTATTTCCTCCCAATACAAGGTACCTGCCTACAGGTGTAGCATTAAAAATGCTTATAGATCCACTGCTAGCCATAAGTGACTCAATAAAACTAGTGTTGCTCTTGATTTTAATATTATTTTTGAATATCAGGGCAACTCTCTGGTGCTAGAAGGCAAAAATGAATGCCTGATGTAATTGCACACATTCAGATGATTGCATCCTTCTAGTTTTATTGCATGCTCAAATTTTTTTTATCAGACATTCATACATTAATTTTTGAGACGTGCATGTCACATTGCGGCGTCAGACCCCAGACCTTCTCACCAAACTCGTGACCGAAGGACTAGCCGATCTAGAACTGCGATGTGGCGTGCATAACAATGCCACACCCAGCTGCCCCCTGCACAACGATTTTCCAGCTAATGGACCACAATCAATGTACTGGCAGCCTGGGCGATTGTTATTGGGTCAGGTTAATTTCACAATTAACCCTTCACACTGCCACCATCTCCTTTTTGTACAGAGAAAGAGGAAACTCGGCGTTATCAGCTATAACACTATAATGATTGAGATAATCGTCTGTATAAAATGGTCCGCAGGCCGGTTATACAGAGGTTTAAACAAACACAGTAGTGTTCTCTTTAGAGGCAGGAATTCGTAAATTGCAATAAAGCGCTATAGAAACAGTTCAACACTTTCAGAAGGAAAGATTTATTACTAAAAGATCAAACGGGTGCAATAAAAATATTTACAGAAAAAGATGTACCTAAGATATATATATACATATACAAAGAACCATAGCACAGCAAAGAGATATCAGAGAGAGGTGAAAGGGTTAAAGTACTTGCCAAAGTCCTGGGTTAGCAGATCCAAGTTTCAGAGCAGAAGGGTGCTTTGATCTCCCTATGTTACGATGGTCAATGAGAGAATTCTTCAACAACGCACTCTTAGGTCTGGCAGCCGGTTTTGTGGTCCCCAGCAGGGGGTGGCTCTGAAGTCAAGGACCAATCTCTGCTTAGGGCGTGGAGATATGGGTGGATGCCTCAACTAGAGCAAAAATCTCCCTTAACTCATATTTTGGCCTATCACTTTCCATCTGCACCAGTGACATCCCACCCGCGGGTAGATTATTATGCAGACAAGTCTGAGGATTGATTAGATATGAATTATGAAAGTGTACACTGAACGGTTCGCGAGATCTATTTTTCTGCTTTCCTGTGTGTCTGAGACAAGACAAGTGACCCATCAAACTGTTCGCCTGCTCATTGTCCATCTGACGATATGTCCGGTTTTTATGTAAATCTCTCATATTCGAAGATATGAGACATAGGGGAAACATGTATTTTGAGAGGTGTTATCTGATTCTGTCACCTATGCTGAGTAGGTTTTATTAGGTTGGAATGTCTCTCAACTCAGGATAAAGCTTGCCTTATCTCTTCCGAGGTGTGAAATGGCACAGGTTCTCAGACAGCTAGGCCCCGGCTCCCTGGGGGGGGGGCCTTTATAGCTCCTATGACCCTCCTGTGACATTTTTTAACACACACATACACTGTCACTGTAACTCTCAGAGTGAGGAGGAAGGGGGGAAGGAAAGTGAGGGGAGAAAATGGAGATTCTTAACAAAATGGTGGACTGCGTCCGTCTCTGTTGCGCACGTTTGCGACAGTGCACACTACTGTTTCCAGCCAAGTTAGTAAGCCCAAACACAACAGAGTTGATCTGGATTACTCCCGGAAGTAAAATATATATCTGGCTTGCAGGGACAGTATGAAGGCAGCTGTGATCCCTGGCAAAGGCGATGACAGCTTTTCACTTACAGCTAGGATCATTTAGACTGGGA